GATTAAACCGTCAGCCTACTCTGTGCTGATGGTTTGTGTGATTTCACACAAACCGAAAAAAGTTCAGCTCGCGAGATCTGTGCGCGACTAAGAACTAAACGAGCGACACTAACATTTATAAGAGAAAAAAAAGAGATGACATACCGGAGGAGAAACGTCCCCGCGGACCTGTGTGCAACCATTCCCTCTGAGTATAGCATGCAAAGTCCAAAAAGAGACGAGCCCCACGTGATTTAAAGTCACGCTGCACCACTGCTATTTCAGTTTATAGCTTTAAGCAGCATCTTGATAACTGAATGGAATTTATTTATTGACCAAAGATTAACTAAATGATGAACAGCCTCACCAGGAGGCATCTCAGATGTGTCCACTACGTCCACGTTTCATCTCATCTGGACTAGCTTTATGTCGAAAATGGATTTTGAGGTGGAAATTATTGCCATAAGTTTATGCTTACACCTATAGGAACACTGAGTCATTGAGAGTTAAAGACATATTCATCACATATTTTCTCCAACAAAAAAAAGACCTAGTTGTGTCTTATGCATTCACTACAACAAAACATATAAGAAGCAATATACAGCGCGTTGTAAATACTATTTTACAAGTGTTGTCTCATTATTTATTTAAATTTAAATCTACTGGGAAAACTACCCCGGGGCAATTGTCCCCCCCCCCCCACAAAAAATGCTTTAATCAAAACTAAAATGACATAAACCCAATAATTAGTTCAGAAACTAGTCTTACCGGTTAGGGCTTTGTTTCTCCTGCAAGAGAGCCGGGAATCAGTCCAGCTTTAAATCCAGCCCAGTCTTGTAGCGCTGCATCCTATAAACACACTTCTTGGAAAGATGACTCAGAGAGAGAGAGAAAGGTCAAGTGACGGGAGGCAGAAACCAAATCATTTGTCTGAGCTGTTTATTGAGGAAACAATGTTTGTGTTTAAAGCATGAATGAACATGTTTACACAGATATGGTAACAGCATTTCAACACCGGAGGAATAAACAATTAGTCATTACACCAAACATAAAAATGAAGGAATCACAAAGATAGAAAGAAATATTCTCACTTGCGCTTTAGCAAACTTTGATGACATAGAAGATATTTAGCTCAGCAAAGAAAAAAAACCACAGACAGAATTGTGCAAAATATGCTGGAATACATATTGCATCTTAAATATGCAACGTCAGACAGAACTGTGCTGCAGGTCCTGTTGTGTCTGCAGGTTTGTCTGCTCACCACGGCCTTCATGCTTCCGACAAATCAACTGTCTCCTGATCTGGTAAGAACAGTGGTGATCTTAGGCTGTCTGAGGGGCAGGGCTGAAAAATATCGAAAGGGCACCAGCTGCATGTTAAGGGGCACCAGCACGCAGACAGTATATAGCATTTACAGCCGCCTATGGCATCATGTTTTCTTCACTGGAAGGCCACCATGGAGGGCACATCATCACATTTTCTCCAATAGAAGTGCACCCAGAGGGCAATTTATCATGTTTTATCTACCATAGAGGCATCTAAGAGGGCACCTTTGCTGCGTTTTGTCTGAACAAGGGGGCATCCTTGGTGCATTTATAAGCACTATAATAAATGTACACTATAAAGTAGCTGTACACAGCTGAAAGGACATTTTAAAATATTTAATTTGAGTGTCCGAATACTAAGTGTGTAAATTTATCCAAATAAAGTGGCCTCAAAACTTTCCACAATGGAACAAAAAGGTAGTCTTTGTGACATGTAAACTTCTTTCCGCTAACAACCCCACAATGTGATGCGATGATGATGTGATTTTAAAATATTTAAGGAAAGCTCACTATTCGTGCTGTTTGCTGGGTTGGTAAATGCTGCACCTT